TCAATATAAACTTAAGATACAATAAAAAAATTAGTTTTACATTAATTGCAGTGTCATGGACTCGCTGAATAGCTTCAATACCCATTTGGTAAAATTCCTTTTCAACAATATTTTTCAATTCAACAGTTGTATTTGGTACTCGACTAACTAATTTGAATAAAAGTGCCAAATCTATAGAGAAAGAAAACCAAATGAATTATTTAACACTTAAAAATAAAATAAAGATTTTATAAGAAAAACTCTAAAAAACATAATTTTCGAAAAAGTTTCAAGAAAAAATAAAATTTTTTATTTGGATCCTCACAATAATTTCGTAAACCACTATCAATTGATTGAATATCAATGAATTTGCCTTGACGTTTATCCTTGATTAATTGAAGACATTCTAATGTTTTTTGTTTCCACAATGGTGAGAAGAAAACGGGTTGCCGCTCTTCCATCGACATCTAAAATTAAATTAATTTTATAATTGATTTGACAAGATAAACAATCTATTACATTGGTACATAAGTTCTGCAAGGTTTTTTTTTGTTTTTTAGACAAATCTGAGGGTTTATATCTCTTTCCAGTCACGAGATATAAAGCCTCAAATTTGTTTAGAAAACAGAAGAAAACTTGCACAACTTATGCACTAACGTAGTGAATTTACTTACAGTAAAAATATCATCTCTACTTCATGAATCATATTTCCGTCGTATCCAATAAAGATTTAGATAATAGCAAAAGTCATTTATTACATCACTTGAACAACGGTAATATTATAAACAATATCAGGAGCTAAAAATTAGAAATAGTATGATCTTCAAAATAATATACTCGTTTATAGAAGTCGCTATGAGACGGCTGAGAATTGAGAATGACATACAGTACGAGGAGGAAATAAATCATATTTTCTATTGGTTACTTCATTTCCGCTTTTAGTTTCAGACTTAAAACCACTTTGTCATTAACTAGCCGCATAGTCCCGTTAGGGTGAAGAAAACTGATGAGTAACACTCGAACGAGACAATTGAGTAACATCGTTACTTGGCTCTAGATATTTTTACTATGGTTTGTAGCAAGCAGTGGAATACTAATAATAAGATCTTTCTAGATAGTGTGATCTTGTGAATGAATTATTTATATTAAAATTATTCTTTCGCTTTAAGTACTAGTCAAATAATATGAGTCAAATTTGGAGTCTTGAAAACAATAAATGAATTTTTTTTTT